TCCCCATACTGATTTATTAAATTACAGCAGATTATTTTCCAATTGACCGAACTTAAAAAAAAATAGGGGAGGGGTTAAGAGGTTAACCCCCCCCCCCCCATTTCCATGGACCCCTGACATGTAAGGTTAATGAACAGACTCAGAGTCATTGAAGTAGAGATAAATTATGTGCACAGATTCTGTATACAGTGTATGCTGATTCAGTGTGAACTTGTGTCATCATTGTATTGAATACCTTTTTTTTTACGGGGATTAGCTCACGTGGGCACAGGTCACTGACCCACATCGGGGCCTCGGGGGCGAAAATGTAATCATAATAATAATAATAATAATAATAATAATAATAATAATAAAGAACCATAAAGAAATACAAAAATGAGAAACAATATATGTATGTTGTGTTGTCAAGATAAGAGAAACAATTGAGACCCTGCAATTGTGTGTAAATGAGGCAGAAAGTTAGATCAGCAACCTGAGACTTGGTCACAATTTTCGTGATGCCATATGGCAGCAGGGTCTACCATTAGAGAACACATTATGCTTCCAATATCTTCCCAGGCGGTAGTACCTCCCTGTTTGGTAGCTGCCTACTACCTCTATCTATATCTATCTATCTATATCTATCTATCTATCTATCTATCTCTCTCTCTCTCTCTCAATGCAATAGTGCTTACTGTTTGAGGTAGTGGTGGTAGTTATGGAGAATGTGTGTGTTGTGTCCTTGAGTCAAACTAAAGAAAAGGATGAAGGGAGGAGGGGGAAGGGAGAGTCTTAAACATGGTAGACCAATAAACCTGTCGTGTGCCTTTATGACCTGTCACTCACCCACTGTCTCATCCCTCCCTCCTCTCCCTCTCTCCTCCTTCCTTCTTTTCCTCACCCATTATTGCCCCACTCTCAAACTATTTCAATTTTTACTCCCCCAACCCTCCAATGGGTCAGACTAACTACATTTATTTTCCAGCTTTTATTCATGTTTCCTCAATCAACAGTCACCCATATCTCTCAGTCACACACACACACACTCTTCTCATCTTCCTCTTTTCTCACCCCAATTCATCTTCAGTTTTTCAATGTATCCTCTACCCTTCAACATTAGATTCTCCCTTGTTTCCCTATCATCTCCTCCGTTTTCTATGAGATGTTTTTCTTTCATTCCAATTTTCTCTTATTTTCGTTACTATCTCTTCTCCCTTAGTATTGATTTTTTTGCATTAGTTTGCCATTCTTGGTTTCTATGTCATTTCCTGCTTCTGGTTCTATGGTCACTTTTTTTTTCTTCCTTCCAATTCTATTTTATTCCCTCGAGTTTTCTTGGAGACAATGACGCTCTTGTTTTACTGGGTGGCCGACACACTCAAGGAAAAACACGCTTGACCTGTTTTAATTGTATTTTTGTCATGTTCCTTCCTTTATGTACTATTATAGGTATTATTTTGTTTCCTGAAGTCGTTCAGTAGCTTGCATATCATAATAACTGTTTGAGATAAGGTTTAGTTCTATTTTATTGATGATAATAGTAAGTTGTTGCTACAGAAAGGAAGGAAGGAATAATATATGTGGTACCATTCATTAATTTGATTAAAAATCGTGTAATATCGTTTGACTTATCGATAGTGTACCCTGTCTATCTCAAAAGGATGAACGTAGGGTCAGCTAGTTTATGAGAGTTGATACCCAAGGACTAACAGTGGCGTAGCTAGAGTGTGTGCCGCCCGGGGCGGCCCTTGAGTTTGCCGCCCCCCCCCGTACCCCCACAAAAAATACATATTGCACAGTGACTCACTCGTCTTGTCACGATGGAGACTTGTACAGAACTGAAGTGAATTGCTTGTAACTGGTGGATTGGTCGGTTGTACATGAACTGATATGACCCGAGACTGCATGGTTTTGCAGCTACTGGAGACGTTAATCCTTCCCTTTGTATCGGCGGCAAGTTAATCCTCGTCGTGTCTGACCTAACACCTGACCCACACCACATGAGCTCACTGGCGTACTTGTTTGAAGTTGTTTCCTTAATCCTCAACAGGTTACAGGTTGTGTGTGTGGCGGGGGGCCTCATAGCAAGGGTGTAGCTCATGACGTGGCCGTGATGATGTGGGTCAGGTGTTAGGTCAGACACGACAAGGATTAACTTGCCGCCGATACAAAGGGATGGATTAACGTCTCCAGTAGCTGCAGATATGGGTGATGAGCAGACCCAAAAGTGCCGCCCCCCAAAAGTGCCGCCCGGGGCGGACCGCCTCCCCCCGCCCCCCCTAGCTACGCTAGTGACTAAGATTTCTAGTAAGTTATGGTAAAGTGGTGGACTTACACACGCACCACACTAAACTAAAATGCTGAGGTCGAGTTTTGTGTTGTTAATAAGGTAGAAATTGGCAGGAGGAGGAGGAGGAGCAAGTTGTTGAAGGAGCTCCGATCGTTAGTTGCCAAAATACTGTGTCTAGCATATTTATGAGTCGTATACTTAATGTTATGAAGCCCGTCATCACGCCTCCTGCATTAATCACACACATGCAGTTGTTGCTTATGTTCTTCCTCCTTTTCTTGTGTCCGTGTGTGTGTGTGTGTGTGTGTAGACATTAGCTCAGAGTTAGCCATCAGTCCACTCTTAATATCACTTAGTGGATCATGATTTATAATGAGATACTGTTGATGATGTCGCCTTCCTTCTGTTAGCTTCTGTTGATGATGTGTTCCTTTCTGTTAGTTCCTGTTGATGATGTGCTTCCTTTCTGTTAGCTCCCGTTGATGACATTGCTTCCCTTCTGTTAGCTTCTGTTGATGATGTGTTCCTTTTGTTCGCTCGTGTTGATGACGTTCCTTTCTGTTAGCTTCTGTTGATAATGTCGTGTTCCTTCCTGTTAGCCCCTGTTTATGATGACGTGTTCCTTCCTGTTAGTTCCTGTTGATGATGACGTTCTAGGTTAGGCCAGGATAGGATAGATTATGTGAGTATAGGTTAGATTAGGTTAAGTGCGTTAGGTTAGATTAGTATTAGGGTGGGTTAATCTCAAGGTGAAATAAGCTGGGGTGGAGATTCTTCAGGTGGTCTGGTTTTATTAATATACAGTAAACACAAGACTAAAACCATTGTTAAGATAGCGTGACACAGTGTTTGTTAAGTGTCCCATGTTTATAGAAAATTGAAGAAGGTAAGATGACGGGAGATGACGATTTAAGTTATAATACTGAGGTGGGTGCGTGAGGGAGGTGAGAGCGTTGTGGTGGTGGCAGTAAATTGGACGGATAACTCTGTGCAAACTGTTTCCGGTCATCGCCGCCGTCTTATTATAGTATCCCCTTTAAATATTTATCGTCGTTTTCTTTCTACCTCTTGTGGTTGGGTCTGAGGGCGGATAAATTCCTGGGCGTATGAAGTTATAAGAGAAAATTGGTTGGAAAATTGCCTTTGGTTTGTCTGGTATTGGTGTGCAGATAACATGGCATCAGCGAAACTTTACTAGATGTATAACTGGTAATATCCCCCGGACATACTATACTGCTCTACTAACTTGCTCTTTGATTCCTCACATTAAACGAGTATTGATGTGGGTGAGTTTCTTTATTGAGTCATTTTGTCTTAGCTCGATGTCTACTATTTGTTCAACCACACATACAGTAGGCTACATAATAGTTTTTCGGTGGTCTCACTTGTTTTTTATTCAATATTTTTTTTTATTAAGTACAGTTTGGGTTTGTTTTATTTCACTGTGTTTTAACAAGTGAAGGACGAGA